AAAGAATCTAACGAATGTAACGAATGTAACGATTTTTAAACGATTTAGTTAGATGTATCACATATGTCGATCGGGATATTTCAAATATTTCGCGAAAGAGCTCGAGCAAGACAAACAATATACGATGCATTCATAGATTCGTTCAATTATTTCTTTATATTCGCGTTCGCGTTTTTCACACAATAGGAATAGAATCAAAGAAAAATTTATTTTTCAAACGAGAACGTTTTTTTGACTCTCATACTCTGCACATTAGGTATACATATGTCTTGTCAATCGATTAATTAAGAAAACGATAGAGTTCTCTCGATTACATTTAAAATAAATGTTTATGCGCTTTTTGCCTATCTTTATACAAAATAGATTTCTTCCGTAGAGCAATGGCGGATTATCGACCTTTTCAAATTTGACACCAGATACACTTTATCGTTATCGTTTACACAGAATAACACAACGTGGCTTCTCATTAGCCGAAACGTCGGATTGGTTTTCAACTTACGCAGGTATCGAATTGAAATCTTACTTCGGAAGCTCTCAACATTGCCGCATATATATATATTGGGTGTAGTAAAAAGAAATCCATTATTTTTCCATTAGATGACATGCAAAAATAATGGATTTCTTTTTACTTTTTACTTTTTACTTTTTCTACACCTAATATATATATATATATATACTATATCTATATATATATATTCGAAATAATATTAAACTTACTTTTCCTATCATCATCATTTTTCTTTTATCTATCATGAAGAATTAATTAAGAATAATATTTGCAGTTGATTACCAACCAAACCAAGTTGAATACATTTCAGTTGTAAAAATCGAAGAAGAAAGTGACAATGTGTGTGAATTACGAACTGAAATTGTTTTTCAACCTGTTGAAGGTAACATTTTTATTGTTATTAGTTATGTATAGAGCATTGTGATTATATTTTTTTAGATCAGAGCTGTAACTATAATATATTATCTTGGTCAGGAGAACATGATTTGATCAATTTTTATTTAAAAAAGGTAAGAGAGAGAAAGAGAGAGAGAGAGAGAGAGAGAGAGAGAGAGAGAGAGAGATTTTAGTTTAAATTTATCTTAATTTTATCAATAAAATTATATTGTTCAGTTATCAGTTGTTACATTTATATATTTCTTCAGTCTTTAGATTTTCGCTTTTCTCTTAGACACTTACGATACGATCAGAATATTACTATATCGATCCGATCGAGTAACGATGACTTTTCGAAAACTAGTAATGCAACAATATTTACTTTCATCACACCATCGTGTCTACAAATTCATCATAATTTAAGCATCTGCGGTAATTTAATAAAATAATTTTATCAAGTACATTTTGAGTTTTTTCTTCAAAATTAAATTGTTTCAAGTATATAATAATGTCGATTTTTCTTCTCGATTTTTGTAGCACCTGAAAAGGTAAAAGGTTTGCAGATGGAATACATTCGAAAGCGAAGTGAAGAATTATATGACGTTGCAGTTAATTGGAATAAACCTTTTCTACAACCGGATAATTACACATTACAATTTAACTCGCTTCAATTTGAACCACGTTTATTAGTTGTACCCGGAGTCAGTATTATCATACCAAACTATTCTTTTAATTAAAAAACGTTTCTTATAAGAAGAAAAAAACACAAATTTTTGCTTTTTCTATAGAATGCAATCAAAGCTCTTTTTTCAAACGTCGATGTAATACTGCGGTATGAGATCAATATTATAGCAGAATCAATGGGCGGTGTAAGTTTACCATCGACTATATCCGGGAATATTAACGAAGCTTCAGGTAAGCATGTAAACATGATAATCATTTGAATTGTCACATGAATAAAATTGGTATTCAGATGAGACATGTGCGACATAATAGTTACAGAGCTATCTTATCGCGAGATTATTGTAGCGTTATCAACACTAGTGATTGTTATGGCAGTGTTTGGAATAATTTATATGCAACATCGTAACAAGAAAGAGGAAAAGAATAAGCAAACTAATATGGAATATATGCATTTTGAGGTAAGCTCAGCAATAAAGTGCTAATTTATATGACGCGGCCAATTGTAAGATATATTACTTGTAGTTAACTTTTGTCATATAATCAATTTTCAATCTCAAATATCAAATATATGGTAATCGGCCACAGTTCTCTTTGGATAAAACATCGAATGTATAATGTAAATGTATAGACATCTTATTGATCGTATTTGCGATCGTGATCGAAACCAAAACACCACGTTTCTACTAACAAGTTAATAATTTTATGTTATAAGATTTATACAGTTTTGTTGCTAATAATAATTTTTTCATTATTATGAAATTTGTCTTATTATTGAAATAATTTTTCTATTTCATTATAATTTTGCTATCTCCAAATCCAAAGCAATTATATAATATAAAACAGATTTTACAATTAATATTTTACTAATTTTTCGCTTACAGGGTTCTATGGATTCCCTAAAGAAACTTTTAAATCGGGATTATGCAGTAGAGAATAGCGACACTGTTTTGCCTCATAATAAATTTCTACTTGCTCCACAGCGGCTAAAATTTAAAGGTATATTAGGCAGTGGAGCATACGGCATCGTTAGACTTGCCTCGTTGCAAGATGAATTTGGCGCTATCGCAGACGTAGCTGTTAAAATGATGAAAGGTATGTTGATAAAATAAGACCAAAAAAAATCTATTTATATCTATTAAATATAATACATACTCAAGAGAAAATTACATTCAAATGAGTATACATATAGTAATCGTACTGAAGAAGCATTAAAATGTATAGAGGAACAATTTTATTCCGTATACTTATGCATACAGATGATCCAACAGTAGACGATATAAAAAATTTTTATCGAGAGATTTCAATGATGAAATCCGCTGGTCAACATCCGAACATAGTGTCTTTAATTGGATATTGTACTTTGTATAATAAACCTTTATTAGTAGTGGAATATTGTAGCAAAGGTGATTTACAAACATATTTAAGAACGGTGAGCTACATCAAAAAGTATAATACATGTATATAATGTTATGTGTGCATGTAACTTGAAAAATGCATTAATTTTGTTTTTAGATTTGGCAGAATATAGTGAATGCCGTATTCGAATGTAGGACTCACTTAAAATCTAATGTGGCGTCTTTTGCCAACAACACAGATCAAAGTAATATGTACATACATGTTTATCTCGTGATATGTGTGTGTGTGTGTGTGTGTGTGTGTGTGTGTGTGTGTGTGTGTGTGTGTGTGTGTGTCTATTTGATCTACATTGAGTGCGTTCCACAACTATTGTTTGCAACGCTTGCGAGCATTATCCTTGTTCTCATTAAATGTTAAACAAGGATGAAATAATGCACGCGAGTATTGCGAATGTTAAATGGAATACACCCACTGTGTTACACATGTATGTTTACATATTGTTATATACACTATGTGATAATAACTTTAAATGTTCAAACGAAATATTTTTCTATTATAGAAAGATGTATCTGTAACTATAAAAAGACGCATACGATCGCTAATCGCTTATATGATATTCAACGAGGTAAATCACACAGATGTATAATCGAATATATAATATAGGCATACGTACATAATTATTCCGTTAACGTTTTTCCAGATGTGACTAAATATATAGAAAATATTACTTCTGCCGATTTATTAAATTTTGCTAGACAAGTAGCTACAGGAATGGTAAGTCGTGTAAATATATTAATAATTATTATATTGAGTTTGTATTTTAAAATAATACGATCATTTTCTTAATTCTATTCTATTGTTTCATTATACAAATCAGAATACGATGGATGTTATGTTCAGGAATTTTTATCTTCTAATCGGATAGTACATCGTGACTTGGCTGCTCGTAATGTATTAGTGCGATCAGATAGAGTGGTGAAAATTTCGGATTTTGGTCTCAGCCGGGATATCTATCAAGAGAATGTTTATCGAAAGAAAGGAAATGGTAAATTGCCTTTAAAATGGATGGCACTCGAGGCTTTAACGCATCAAATATATACTACTTACAGTGATGTGTATGCATTATATTTTAAATTATATAAATTATATATAAGTACATTACGCCATCTATTTGATTTGTTGACAATGAAATTTTGGATTATAGATGGGCTTTTGGTATTTTATTGTGGGAAATTGTTACTTTAGGAGCCACACCTTATCCTGATACTCCCACAAATAAAATTTTACAATTCCTCAAATCCGGATATCGAATGGAGAGACCACCAAATTGTAGTCGAGAACTGTATGTATATTTTAACGCGGCATTCCTTAAACAGATTTCTAATTTTCATGAATATATATATAAACAACTGGCGCCAAGTTAAATTCTGCTAATTTCCCTAATTTCTCATAAATTTCAATTTTATACCTACTCTCTCTTTCTTAAAAAAACTTTTTTTCAGATATAGCATAATGTATTCATGTTGGAATATAAGATCACAAAGTAGACCTACTTTTACTGAATTAAAACAAAATTTGGATAAATTGCTTAGCAATTATTCAGAAAATAAATATTTGAGTTTGTGCGATGTTCTGTATGAATCAGCTGACGAACGTAATGAGCCAAAGTCGATTAATGCATGTTAAAATGTATAGCACAACTGTATTAACTATAGCTCATTAAATTGAATTTTAACATGACAATTTTAACAATTTTTACTCTATGACCAAAATCATTTATTTCCTAATTATTATACATACAATAATTTAATTGTGTGATGTATAATATAGTCAACCACTCAAATTTAAGATGAATTGCGTCGTCCAAGTGTTATAGCATAAAATGCGTAGAACATAATATAGCTACTTATACATATGTTTGGATCGGTAGGCATGCAGCATAAAATTGCTACATTGAGTTATATAACGCTTTTAATTAATTTAAACAGTCTTCTGCTAGGAACATATGCAGCTGTCATTTTGCCTTAATTTATTATCTTCCACACAATCATTTCAACAAATTAAAGTTACATAAACAATGTATTATAAAAAGTATCCCATTTATTGCTTTTACTTACGTATATTGAGATATTATTTCTGGAAACTGTGCAACATAATTATATTTTTTTTCAAATTCCTGAGTTTTTGTACAATTAGATTTAAGAGGTAAAATATTCATTATGTTTGTCGTAAGTTCTACAGGCCTAAGTGAACCAAAAAAATCTGTTACTGGTACTTTATCTGGATCCCTTCTAAACAAATCTCTTCTTACACCCACTGTTGATAGACAATAATCTCTCGGACATACTTTCAACTAGAAAATATTAATCTCAATTAATCGATATGATAAGAGAAGAACTTATATTTAGCATTACAATAAGATACTTACAAATTCACCTAATGTTTTACTGCTAGATGGTTCTACTTTTTCCAAAAAATTTAATGCATAATAAGTGTATCGATCTATAATGTAAACACCAATGGCTGGATCTACATGATGCTACAAATATGACATATTAGAATAGATTGATAGCTGTAGGACACTTAAAAAATGCTTTTTTACTTACAGAAAGTGAATCTTCTCCTACTAAACTAGAAGCAACTGCTAATATGTTTGGAGAATAAAATTTCTCGTACATGGAACTCGCTTGACAAGTGTCAACTACAAATAAAATTTCGTGGTATCTCCGTTTTTGCCACATTTGTTCTAATGCATCACCTAATTCTTGACTAGTGATTTCTTCAGAATCTTGAAATTTTAAAAATCCATTACCACCATGGCCAGTTAAATAAATTAAAATATTTGAACCTTCGTCTGTTAATAACTTTTTCGATCTTGGGGTTCCCTGAGCTAAGCGTCCAGTCAATAGCCTTACAAAATTTTCTACAGTTACTTCATAACCTCTATAGTCGACTTCTACATCATCGCCATAAACGTTAATATGTTGTTTAATGTTGTTAAAAACAGTCGCTGGTCTAGGATTCCTAGGATTGCACGCCATATCGTCGGCTATCATCAGAATGATTTGCGAATCTGGTATTCCTAAACGTTTGACACTTCGGTAAATAGATAAAACATTAGCAACATGTCGATAGTTGAACCAGAAACGCGATGTATCGACCAAAACAGCCCAATTATTGGAGTGTTCAGTTTTCACAAAGTTATCCGCTACCTATAATAATAAATAAAAGGCTAATGTAATAAATGATGAGAATTAGACTTTAAAAGAGTAAATCGAAGAATGAAATGCAGAAGACGCGTACCTCCCACATATGACACGACATTAAAAAAGAAATCAATATCGTTGTACAATATGCCAAATTCATTTTCATCTTCAATATAGTTACAAATTTTTGTATATAGGAATGTAGGGTTAGATTAATTCAATTACACATTAACTAAAGTGATAACCGTAAACCAGAATGCACTCGCACCAGAACGCATCGCCTAGGCACTCGAATCTTTCTGGTATCTTGGAACATTAATTTGATTTTACGATAATTATTCTTCAATTTATCCCACGCACTTCAAAAATCAATAAATTTAAGCTTTGATGCGTTTCTGCATGAAACGAAAGAATCTGGTAGAAATAAATATCGCTCTGCTCCGCGGACCGAGATATTAATCTATTTAAAGTTAATGAGTATTCAGGTTAAGAAACCAGTCACAGGTCACAGCCGTGATGTAAGAAGCTGCACACAATGAAAGGAACAGAGAACAGAGAATAAGAATTTCAACCTATCAGAAATCTTATATTATGGAGTACACAGTTTCTGATAGGTTGAAATTCTTGTTTTCTGTTCCTTTCATTGTACCCAGCCCCTAAGAACACAAAAGTTTATTGCACGTCGCATGCTCCAAATTAATCCAGAGAGCACTTGGATCACAAGTAGTGCCTTTACATGGCAACGAGCGCATGCGCAGTGATATGTTTAATAATTTTATTGTAATTGAATTTAATGTACGAGATATACTAATAATAGAATCTTGTAGTTTACAC